TAAATGCTTCAATTCACATAAAATTAATATACAATAAATTTGAATCACAAATTTCAACTCTAAAAACCCAAATCAAGTTTTCCTAAAGTTCGTGAAAAATAGTCGATTCAGGATGAGTGTGATTTGCAGAATATAGACATCAAAATTTAGGTGATAAACTCATATTTCGTTGCTAAATAGTTTTAAATTTTCAAAAACAATACTCATTTTCATCTCAACACTAAACTTTAGTTTCTAAATAATTTTTAATTTTACATTGATCCAACAAAAACGTTGAACAGAGCTTTCACATAAACAAAATCATAGATTCACTCTCTAACGAGCACATCAGAACGAGTTTCTCAATCGGAACAGCTTAGAAAGGCATGCCACGAATGGTTGGCAACGACCAATGAGAAAATGGGTAAAATGTAACTACGATGTCTCACATCATGAAGGAAATAGAGATTTGGGAATGGGATGGATTATTAGAAATGACAATGATACTATCAAAAAGCTTCATTATTCTATTTGGTTAAATAGAAAACCACGTTTCCATACGAAATATGGACTCAAAGTTTACAATTGGCCGGTCAGCCACAAACCAGCCAATTAAACACTACAAAAAACACAGTTTTAGCGTCAAAATTTTGCGTCGGATTTGTGTCGACGCAAATATAGCGCCGACTGTGCGTCCATTTTGTTTCGTTCAAAACATTCGACGCAAATTCGACGCTAATTTGGTACGAAAAATAGCGACGCTAAATCGATGCAATTTAGCGTCGGCAAAATAGCGTCTGATATAGCGTTGCTAATTCGATGCTAAATTCCGATGCAAATTCGAAGCAAAATCGCTGCTAAAAATTCTTATAAATACATCCCCAAAACGCACCCCAAACCAAAAATCATTGAAAAAAAATAATCTTTCAATAAATTTTCTTAGTTACATTTTCTGAATAAGATGGGCGATATATACGAACTAAGAAGCTGAATGCATCAACGTAGAGATGAAAATGGAGGAATTTCAGAAGAGTTCCTCAACGGGCTTGAAATTTTCATGGCTCAAGCAAGTATTGTACCTACAATTTAACGGACCGGAGTGATGGTGTGCCTGTGTCGAAAGTGCAAAAATTCGAAGCCGCAGACAATTGATGTAGC